TGACGCTACTTTTTCTCCTTTTTTTCAAAACCAGTGAATTTAGGAATAATCTCCAGATTTCGAGCGAAATTGCGAAGTAGACGAGCCCTCGGAGTTCGAATTCCAAGAAAGTTTGTGCAGAGATGAGGAGGATTTTCAGTCGAGGAGCGAAAGATTCGCCGTCTGATTCTACTTCTCCGTCACCGATATCATACCCTTCGACTTCCCCAGCATCGTCTTCTGCTGTGACGGGTCCACCGAGACCGATTCGTTTAGTGTATTGCGATGAGAAAGGGAAGTTTCGGATGGACCCTGAAGCAGTCGCTACTTTGCAACTCGTTAAGGAACCAATTGGTGTTGTTTCTGTTTGTGGTAGGGCTCGTCAAGGAAAGAGCTTTATCTTGAATCAGGTAAGGGTTTTCGATTTTTTCAACCAAAAGTTTGTTTTCGGAGTTTCCGAGAGGAAATGGTGTTTGTTCTGAATTGGTTCTGTGTACATTGTTTCAAGGTCTAGGGTTTTGGGGAAAATTAGGGTTCTTGTTTTTGTTTCCTAGAATAGAGTAGCTTCTTTGACGCAGTGATGGGTTAATTCGTTTTTCTTACTTCAAATGGTGTAAGAGTTTGTTTCCGGAATTGTGTTTGTTTGATTTGGTTATGTGTACTTTGTTTCAAGGTCTAGGGTTTTGGAATATGAGGAATTCTGTTTTGGCTTTTCTCGGATTGATTTCTTACGGTGATGTTGCGTTTTTGTAGCTTCTTGGACGCAGTAATGGGTTTCAAGTAGCATCAACACACAAGCCGTGTACTAAGGGGCTTTGGTTATGGAGTTCTCCTATTAAGAGAACCGCTCTTGATGGAACTGAGTACAATCTTTTGTTGTTAGATAGTGAAGGGATTGATGCTTACGACCAAACGGTAAGTAAGATTGATGCTTATTACTTTCTACTTTAATTTTTTTTTGGTTTCCTACCAAGGTTTGTGGTTTTATTAGTATGTTCTGATGCACTTTCCTTCCATTTCCACAGGGTACCTATAGCACTCAGATATTCTCATTAGCTGTTCTTTTGTCAAGCATGTTCGTCTACAATCAGGTTGGTTAAATTTCCAATTTGCCTTTGTCAAATTGTTTTCTCTCTTGTTTGCTTAGATGTTGTTCTCGTTTATATGTCAGATGGGAGGTATTGACGAAGCTTCACTCGATCGCCTCTCTCTCGTCACTCAAATGACGAAGCATATCCGTGTAAAAGCTTCTGGAGGGACGAGTTCACGTTCTGAACTTGGGCAGTTTTCTCCCATCTTTGTCTGGCTGTTGAGGGTAATCTTCTGTTCATTTTGTTGGAAATCTTCTTTGTTGATATTATAGCTTATATGTATTCTTAACCTTGATATCTTTTACATGTAGGACTTTTATTTGGATCTAGTGGAAGATAATCGGAAGATCACTCCGCGAGACTATCTAGAAATCGCGTTAAGGCCAGTTCAAGGTACTGGCGGTGATATTGGTGCTAAAAATGAGGTAATAGTTGCATCTGATTTCTTTTTTCGGGTATGAATAGCTAGATAGTCAGCACTCTTGATAAAGCTGAGTCTGGCGGTCAAGTGTAATTTTTTTTGGTTAAAATAATTTTATGTCAATGTAAATGAAAACAATGTTTTTGCAGATCCGAGATTCAATTCGAGCTCTTTTTCCGGACCGAGAGTGCTTTACCCTTGTAAGGCCTCTAAATAATGAAAAGGACCTCCAGAGACTTGATCAAATTTCGGTTAGTATTATTCTATGCTGCCCCTTCACGTATAATATGCTGTAACTTTTTGGATGGTTGTTTAATCCGTGGTTGCATATTATCCTGCGTGTCTATGCAGTTGGAAAAATTGAGACCTGAATTCGGCGCTGGCCTGGATGCATTAACAAAGTTTGTTTTTGAGAAGACGAGGCCCAAGCAATTAGGGGGTACTGTGATGACCGGTCCTATTCTTGTCGGTATTACACAGTCTTATCTGGATGCGTTGAATAATGGTGCCGTGCCAACAATAACCTCATCTTGGCAGGTTTGATATATTTTGCCTCTTGTGTGTTTAATAGATTAAAAGCCGATAGCCATTTTTTTTAATAATTGGTTAAAAACATGGTTGGTTATTGCATTTAGACCTTTGTGCACTTTAAACCATCGTGGGGCTCAGTTGGGATGTCCTTACTAATGCCTATTTCCCCAGAGACTTCATAAAGTGATTTTTCTTGACTATCTCCTTGTAGAGTGTTGAAGAAACTGAATGTCGAAGAGCATATGATTCTGGTGTAGAAGCCTATATGAAAGCCTTTGACCAATCAAAAGCTCCTGAAGAAGTAAGTACCTTGGCTTAGCCTCTCATTATTTGTAATTTATGATTCATTCCAATTCTGCTATATGTAGGGTGCACTGAGGGAAGAACATGAAGAAGCAGTTCGAAAAGCTTTGGCTATGTTTAACGCTAATGCTGTTGGAGCTGGTCCAGCGAGAAAAAAATACGAGGATCTTCTCCATAAGGACTTGAAGAAAAAATTTGCGGTAATAAGCTCTAAAAAGTGTCATCCAGCAACAAGCACTTGTTTTGAATTTTGACTGTTTTATATAATTAACTTTCTCAACCTTTCACATGAATTTGCTCTTCTCACTGCCTTATGCTGATGTAGACATTTTTCTGCTGATTCAGGATTACAAGAAAAACGCGTTCATGGAGGCAGATTTGCGATGCACAAGTACTATCCAGAGTATGGAAAAGCAGCTGAGAGCAGCTTGCCATGCCTCTAATGCAAGTATGGATAATGTTGTTAAGGTTAGTTATCTATGGATTTTTTTTGCATAGATGAATTAGGGATTAAATTTGCCATGGTTTTGAATTGGTTGCTGATTTTTTTTCTTGTATGCAATGGCCTACTGTTTCAGGTTCTAGAAGCTCGTTTGTCGGAGTATGAGGCATCATGCCATGGCCCAGGGAAATGGCAGAAACTTTCTGTGTTCCTGCAACAAAGGTAATTCACTACGTCCTCTCTCCACCCCCCCCCCCCCCCAACACTGTTTTTGATTTACACTAGGTGTGTGTGTAGAGGTTCTTTCATGTATTTTACACATTTGGTGTTCTGTTTTTAATCATGCAGCTTGGAAGGACCGATATATGATCTCACCAAAAGGCTTATAGATAACATCGCTATAGAGAAGAACTCACTTGCAGTGAAATTCCGGTCCGTTGAAGATGCGATGAAGCATCTAAAGCAGCAGTTGGATGATAGTGAGAAATACAAGTTGGAATACCAGAAACGTTATGATGAATCCAACGCTGACAAGAAGAAGCTGGAAGATATATATAGAGAGCGCATAACTAAATTACAGGGCGAGAACAGTTCGCTGAACGAGCGATGCTCTACTTTGGTTAAGACCGTTGAATCTAAAAAAGAAGAAATCAAAGAATGGCAAAGAAGTTATGAGCAGCTTGTTTTGAAGCAGAAAGCTGTTCAAGATCGGCTTAATTCTGAAATGGAAGTCCTTAGGACACGGAATACTACTTCTGAAGCTAGGGTTGCTGCAGCTAGAGAACAAACCAAATCTGCTCAAGAAGAGACCGAGGAATGGAAAAGGAAGTATGATTTTGCTGTGGGAGAAGCAAGATCTGCTCTCCAGAAAGCTGCTTCAGTGCAAGAACGTTCAGGCAAAGAAACACAATTGAGGGAAGATGCTCTTAGGGAGGAATTCTCTATCACGTTAGCTGAGAAGGTATCTATAGATTGATCCACAAAGAGATTGTACCTACTTCAGTATAAGTTTATCATGAGTATGACTAATAGCTGGTGTTAATCAATTTCAGGATGAAGAAATTA